TTTTGAGTTTGTGTTTGAGTGAGTCAAAACTTAAATTTGTATTTAGATAGTATTTTAATAAAAACTCAATGGTGATGAAAAATTTTAATAAGGTATATGGGTGAGATTTTATTCATCTTTTCGTTGTCAACGCATAGAAAAAAAATCATCTCAATTAGGATTAAAACGAAAAAGTTATAGCATTTTTAATAATAGAAAAATACTGTTCATTAATTTGAGAAACTCGAGTTGAAGGGGAAACTTGAACTCGAGTTTTAGTCCCAAACTCGAGTTCAAACTTAAAAGAACGTGAACTTAAATAAAGTTGTAACTTGAGTTGTATTTTTTTGAGTTTTTGAGGCTGTCGAACACACCCTTATTCATGTTGACATAAATGTGAAAAATGACACCAGAATTCACCCTTAATTTTATGTACCTAAAACTAGAATTTAAAAGTTGAAAAAGATTACTTCCAAGACCATAATATAAAATGCAGTATACTAACCTTGCGGTTTGCTAATTAGTTTCTGTAATTTTTCCCTTGGGTTTACCCGTTAAAGTTGGATTTTTTGCTACTCTATAATTCAGTTTGTCCATAAAAAGAATCGATGATCTCCACAATTAACAAAATTCAGTTAAATACAGCTTTCTTCCAATTGGATAGCTAACGACGTGATAAATAGTTTTCTTTTTATTCCTGTCCCAATTGGATGAAAGAAAATCTTCAAAGATCAAAACTGATGCGATGTAAGAAACCAACTTCCCAATTATTCATTTCTATTTTTTTATTTGCAAATTAAACTCACAATGAATGTTAAATTATCTAATCCAACATACAATAAATAAATAAATATACTAATCTGCTGTACCAATTCTAAAAAGGCTGAAAATGGCATGTTTTATAAAGAAGTTCAAAACTGCAGTATTTAAACTTTTATGATTTGAAATGAGAAGTTTGAATTATACAAAAACAAAAAAAAAAACAAAAAAAATTGAAAAACATGTTTGATATATGAGTTTAAATTAAGGTTAAAATTAGTGGTATTGATTATCTTTTGAAATTTAAATTTTTTATAAGAGAAAAATAATGTAGCATAATTAAAACCATAAATTTGAACCCATAAAAAATCTATATACCAAACATACCCGTGGTACAATGCTCCAAAAATAAATAAGTAAAATCATATCACAGTTTTACACCAATGATTTGTTGACGCCTACTCCCCATTGGATGTGTCTTTGTAAGTTTCCATCAAACATGACTTGACCTTGGCCAAAATAAGCATTTTTTAATTAAGTTCTAGGATTATTATCACAAGTGTCATTAAATTTTGAAGTCATTCTCAAGTCCCATTTATTTCACCGATTTAAATTTTATTACAATAAAAAACTCTCACATAAAGTTACATCTCAATTCGAATTAAAAACTCGAATCAGCGAATTAAACGGACCCCAATTTATTCTCTAAACTTTTAAAATTATCACTTTACCCCTTAAGTTTTCAACTGTTTTCAAGTAATCCCTTATGTTGGAAGTTAAAAACAGATAAAAAAAAAGTTATGAGCAATACAGTCCATCTTTTTGTTTTAATATATGTTAAAAATAAATAGATGAAAAACACATGATCACACTTATTTCCATTTTTTTTTCCATCTGATTTTAACAAATTTTTTTACAAAAGAGCTTAAATAGTACTAATCTAAAATTCAAAAGACAAAATAAGAATTTTTAAAATTTTAAGAGTTAAATTGAGAATAATCCCTAAGTCCAAAGACACTAGTGATAATAATCCCAAAGTCCAAAGACACTAGTGATAATAATCCCAAAGTCTAAGGACGCCAGCAACGATAATAATTCTAATGCCTCGTTTATTTTACCGATTTAAATTTTTAATTTTAAGTTTTTACAATAAAAAAATTCTCAAAAAATGTCACATCTGACTTTTTCTGCTAGAGTTAAAAGTTCTCAAAAAATGTCATATATCAACTTAAATTAAAAATTTAAATCCGTAAAACAAAAGAAATATAAGTTTTAAATTGAAGTCACATATTTTTGGTGCTCGTCTATCACCACCATGTTATTCTTCAGTCATTACCTTTTTTTCTTTTCTTTTTTTTTGGTGTAAACCAAATTCTTGTACACTCACACACAATACATATACCGGAAATAGTAGAAAATATGCCAATATAAAAAGCTTAAGAAAGTATATAGGCCAACTTTTAGTTATATAAATTAATAGGCTATAACTTGTCAAGTTATGATTCATAATCAGATAAGTTATGGACAAACTTGTCAAGTTATGATTCATAACCAGACAAACTATGGATAAAAACCGTGATTTATGGACAATAACTTGTCAAGTTATGGTTCATAACCAGACAAATTATTGACAAAAACAGTAATTTAACTTATTTATTAACTTATGTAAATTATTAACCTATTAATTTTAATTCATCTCAAGTCTTACCTATTTTCCTCTTTCTCCCTACATATACGGCCATTCACTTTGATTTCTTTTCCTTTGGGCTTGAATTGTGTATAAAGTTCAAATAAATAAATAAATAAATAAGAAACTTGTTTAACTCATCCTTTAAACATTTTGATTCTTTATTAATATTTTTTTGACTAATATAATTATTTAATTAAAAATAATATTTTATTAAAAATGATATTAATAAAAAATAGTAAAAATCTAAATCCATCAGGATAGTCTCTGCTTTCCACTTAAAAATTCTGAACTCTAAAAGCCAAGCAAAGTATATGGGTCTTGTCTTTTGATTTTTATTTATTTATTTATTTATTGTTGAAAGCACGTGTGCCCCAGTCAAATTATGGAATTTTAATTTGTACTACTACAATTTCTCAACAATTTCAATTGTGCCCGTACTTGGTATTTATGATATAAAACCGTCTTCGTTTAATAATAAAATATCTCCAATATTTTATATAGTGCCGCCACAAAAAAAAAAAAAAAAAAAAAAGAAAGAAAAACGAAGCCAGTCAAAACAATGGGTAAAGAAATTCATTCAGATTAAAAAAAAGGGCGCAAGGAAATAGTGAACCAATTCCCCTCCCAAGAAACAGGTAAAAATAGTAACGAACGTGTATGGGATATTTAAACAAGGAAAAAAGAAAAAAGACAGAATCAAAGAGGGAAGAAAAACAAGCTTAATTTTACCCAAGATTGTAGAAGCTCTCAAATGTGATAAGAAGCTACTGTTCTTTGCTATTTTCTCTATTCTGTATAAGAACACATCTTCCTTATCCAGCAGGTGCAATGTCGATGTAGATTCTCATTTTTGTGTCAACTTCCTATGTAGAAGGCACAATAGTATATTTCATAGCTGTATTATAACTCAACTATCCACAAAAACCTGACTCTCCAGAAATGAATCAAGAACAGTATACGAGAAAATATATGAAAAACTCACTAAAGGATTAATCAAAATTTGCTTTGACGTGGAACCTATATTTGTCAGCAAATTTTTGGTACTACCTTCATGATACACATCAGGGCCAGCTCGGCTCCTTTCCATCCTGATTGCAAAGGAGAAGGGAAATGATTACTAGTTTATTTATCAAGATAAGAAACATTATAACTAGGTCCTCAAAAAACAGAAAATTTCCACAAACCTGGACTACAATAGGAATGGTATATCGGCTACCAAAAGACACCTGAACCATCTTAACTTATGGCCGATACCGATACAGAATCTTCTTCTTGACTTTTCTTGGTAACAAAGGAAAAGGAACTTAAAATAATGTAAATGAGAATCGACTTCAATCACCAGCCTAACTTATAAAGTTAACAAAGACAAACACCACCTAAAATACACTATTTACATAACAAAAAACACTCGTCTCTTTAAGTCTTAAATTTGGAATGATGAAGCCATAAGAATTGGAAGACCTTGTTTATCTGCACTCCATTAACTTTAAATTCATACAGGTCAACATAAAGTAACTGCATTTCTGATTCTTGCCTTTTTCAGTAGATGTACCTCAGTTGTTACCCATTTCCGTTAAAATGTTTTACAATTTCTTCACATTTTCTGACTAATACTAAATTGCAAACTAATAATGTCATCAGTTCAGTAAATACATATTTTCCTTAGAAAGCTGTTTATTCTTCTTAAAGAGATGATACCTACTTCACAAGAATCTTTGAACCAACCTTATGTTACCACAAGTACCAGACTACGTGTGAGATTAGCTGACATCTAGAAGTGTTATCTTTTTTGACACAACACGGGATCGAACCCGCAACCCCGCCCCCCAAATCCCATCTCACCGGAACCCCCTGGTGCCACTAGGTCAACCAGTCTTGGGCATCTAGAAGTGTAATCTTCAAAATATCTTATTGCTTTTGAGATCCTAGAAAGATCCTTGGCACAAAGCAAAACTTAACAGATTTCTTTGCACCCAAATTAACAAGGAATTGAAAGCTGAACTTACCACTGGTACTGGTGCCATCACCATTTTGAAGAATCATCACATGTAATGAGTTAAATGACCACTAGCAAAGTACCTAATGCCTAAATTTCTTTCGTCTAAACAGAGACGAAAAATTTACCCAATTACTGAAACATCACCATACGTGTAAAAAACTCATTTGGTGACTTGCCCATTGTTAACTAATAATATTCTTCAAGTCAAACACTAGCTGACAGTTAATTCGATTAGTTTACACAACAAAGAATGTTTAAAAGTATCAATAAGTGATATGAAAATACGTCTAAACAAGAAAGGCATTCATCCAATATATCATCTCAACCTCATCATGGGTTCATCTTGACTGAAGCCCAACTGAATGAAGAAGACAGCTCTTCCAGAACAATGAAGCAAGCAGTGTTTTAATCCTGTATCAAATAAGCCATAAGGATTTGCAAATTATGCTACTCTGCCCCCCAACGATGTAGGGAAGCCTGTCAAACATTGTAGAAAATAATCAAACAATCAGGATTACTTCAAATAAACAAGATAGAACTCCCATAATCACAACAGCATCAACAGCTGGTAGAAACAAAATAGAATGTTTGAAAACTTCACGCTATACCATTCATCTATATTCATTCCTGTTTACATCTTAAAAACTACTTAATAATAAACAACGACTAAAGAGCTCTTCTGCCCATGAACATCATACCCCATATGCGCAAATGCAATACAAAAATTTGTAAAAGAAGGCACAATAAAAACAAGGAGGAAATCATGTTTTATTTCCTTCTAACATATTTTTTTCTCCCTTCTATACGTAACATCATATCCTCTTTTTACAAAAATTCAGCGCATTATACCTCACTTGAGGTCTCAATGCCACAGGTGCAACACATGATCATTCACACCCTTTACAAAGCTTCAAGAGTCACAATTGAGTAAAATCTCATCTACCTCTGCCAAAGACAAAAACAAAAACAAAGCTTTATTAGCAAAAGAACTTCTATAATTAAATGATTAATTATGGGACACACAAGAACACAAACAGAAGCGGTACACACCTTAGCCGGAGCATCAACGATCCGGTAAGCATCGGCTGTAATCCCCACCAACCACAATCCAGGAAAAACGGCCTGAAATCCAAAGACACAATAAAATAAAATAAAATAGAGAACAGTAATATTAAAAAAAAAAAAAAAACTTGTTAGTTCAGGTACTACGAGATGAGAAAGTGGAGAAGGCGTTTACGTCGAGCTGTTTCTGAACGTTCTTGGGCCGCTTCCTGGGCCTCCGAGCGGGCCTGGACCCAGTCATGACGAAGATGTCCTCCTCAATCTCCTCCCTCGAGAGAGCGATCCAGAACTTCCTCTTCTCCTTCTCCGAGCTCTGCTGCGACTCCGATAACCCTCGCAGCCTCATCGATTTCGGCGGCTGCTGGTTCAGATTCTCACTCTGATGACCGCCGCCGGCGACCGCGTTCTCCTGTTCCGGCAATTCCCCACTCTTCGCACCATTCGTAGCCGCCTTCGAGAACAGCGCCTTCCTCGGCCTCAAATTCCACGGCTTCTGCACCATCATCTCCTCCTCCCCCGCCGCTGCCTCCACTTCCCGATCATCGCCTTCCTTTCCCTCCCCGGCAGCGACCTCATCGCTCTCTTTCTTCTCCGAGACCAAAGAGCACGACGCGAACGGCGCAGCGAATCGGTTGCGGACAGTCCGGGATCCGACTCGGTGAAAGCGGTTTGGTTCCGCCTCCGACGACTCGTTCCGCTCCTGCTCGGCCGCGTCGCAGTGGTCCGCGACGGGCGAGCTGTCGGCGGAGATTGTCCGGCGGCAGCGGTGGCTCCCGCTCGCGTGGTTCTTGCCTCCTCCCCATTTCAGGAACGGCAGAGGGAAGTTGTGGAGCGGAGACTTGACCGGTGCCGTCGCCATTTTCGCCGATGAACGAAGCTTCTCTCACGCATATAACGATGTATCGCCAGAGCAGCTTTCTCTCTCAAGATTCTCCTCTTCGCCGTCTCTTAGAGAGAGAGAAACCCTAGCAGAAGATCAGAAAAATCGTCTTTGCTCCGACGAAGAAGAGCTTGCCTGTGTTTTTTCGAGATAGAGAGAGAGAGAGAGAGAGAGAGAGAGAGAGAGAGAGAAAATAGGCTGCGAGCGTAGCTCTTCTCTTTCAGCTTTTTGCCTTCGCTACATAAGAGCAGGGAGTTTTCGTTCTACGTCTACGCCGTTACAATTTCTTATCCCCAAATTACCCTTTTTCTTTTCTTTTATTTCCAGTTTTGCCCTCAGGAGGCTTTTGCCCTCCCTTGGAGGGGATCTTTGTGGGGACCACCTTTTAATTTTCTCTGCTTCGATTCCACTTGTACGTATATACTGAAGTTTTATAAATACAAAAATACAAATACGTCCATTCAAAAAAATATATACATACACAAATACACTATTCATCTACTTGTACCCTTTCTTACTTACGTCCTATACGTACAACACTTTAAAGCAGTGTCCTAGGGTAACAGGTGGAATGCTGTTGTAGTGGATTTTGTTCTCTCTCTTTCTTTCTTGCTTCTGATTTTCAGGTGCGTGGGTGTATCTTTGTGTCATTTGAATAACCGTTGGATCAGCTGATCACCGTGCAAACTCACGTGGGTTCCGTGCGGGGCTGAAATCGGACGGTGGTTACTCTGTACGGATCGGTAGGCTTTGGGAGATGATCTTTTTTTTCCTTCCTTTCATCGTAAACGTGTTGAGGATTTGAGGGCCTGATTGCATGGTAGTTTAAGACGTGAGGCGAAATGTGGTGATCGTGTAAAATAATAACATCTGCATAATTATTTACGAAAAATAGAATTTTCATCCTACAATTAGAGACCTTTTCTTGCAGGACGGTCTGCAGGTAGTTAAGTTTTATTTGAATTTGGTTAAAATATTAAAAAAATATGTAAAATAGATAAATTTTGATACATATCTCATAATTGAAAAGTAGTGGATTATCGATAGTCTATTTTTTCAGAGACTATAAGAGAAACTCTCATTATTTATAAAAATAGAGTTTTCATTTTAATTGTAGGGTGCAAAAGAAAATTTAAAACCCGTTTAATTCATTAATTCAAATTTTTAATTCGAGTTGAAATGTAACTTTATGTGAGAGTTTTTTATTATAGTAAAAAAATTATATGTGATTATTTTTTAGAGTTTTTTTACTGTAGTAAAATTTGAATTCTAAACTCGAATCGGTGAAATGAACGGGACCTTAGGGATGCTAAAATTATCTACCATGTTTTTTTTTTTTAAGGAATGCAATTTTTTATGAGATGAGGGATGTAATTTGTAATAGATAATGTTGATATCCTCCTATGATAATCTACACGGTATGTGATATTTCTTTTTTAATAAATAGCTGAAGTTTTTTAAAATTAAGAAAATTGTCTATCGGTGATTGGTTATCGTAAAAAAAAATACTACTTATCTAAAAGAAATTGGATTATTTATTTAAAATAAAATCCAGCCATTAATTTGAAATGGATAGTCAAAATCAACCATCCATCTAATTAGCATCTAACTTTTCTAATCTAAGTAGTCCTTTGTTATATTAGTGGCACGGTGTAGTATCATTGTAATTACTAATTTGATACGTAAATTTTGTCATCAAGAAAAAGTAATATAATATTAGAATTCAGTGGTTATTAAAACACATATAATCAACAATAAATATCTTTCTACTATTTAGAATATAGATATTTTTCCCCTATTTTTAACATAATAACATTTTGATAAATGTTTTCATGAACATTAATTACAAATAAGTGTTGATACCGAAAGCACTAGATGTGTATAACTCAAAGGCCCCTCATTATTTATCCCTTCATAAGTTCTTCCATATAGATTATTTGTGTAACTCAACATGTTAAGATGTCACGTATTAGTATTTGATACGTCTTTATTAAAATCTTCTGATAAGTCTTCAAATCTCTCTCTATAGGTAAATGTTATGAATTATGTATTCTTTCTTGGACATATCACTGAATCATATACTATTTATAACCAAAAAAAAAAAAAAAACAGTCGTACGTCAATCTTTCTATTGTTCATGTCACAATCTCTTGTGTATTTTTCTTTTAAGAAACCTTTTACCGAGCGTCATAACTTTACAATCTATTGAATTTCTACGTAGACATTCTCACTCAAATTTTAAATATTCAATCTTCATTTTTAAATATTTTATAAAATTTCATTTATGTTCTCACTTTATAAGAAAAGAAAAGTACATGATTTTTCTCATGATTTTATCTAAACTCATTATTTATGTCATTTTAAATAATTAAATGTCATTGTAGCTTTTTATTTTCTTTTTATTAATTAAATGACAATTGTTGATTTTAAGTTAAGTGATATAAATAACAAATTTTACCACCTAGAGTGGTATTCTTAGTTTTTTCCTTTACGAGAAAATAAACTATAATGTATCTAACTGAATGATTTAAGTATATAACTACATAACTACGTAACTACGTCTACATTTAATAAAAAATTTTGTAACTTCTTTCATTGCGTCTTTATTGAAATAAAAATGTCTATCTTTGCTACTACAATCATAATCTACTTCTTATAAGAGTAAGTATATTATAATCTCATTCGCAAAGCCAATCATCTACAGGAACTCATTTCTTATGGGTGGATAAACCCGATCTAATAATTTTAACCTGTCACATGTTACATAATAGATATCGGTTTAGAAAATCCTCGATCGTATTACCCGATTATCCACCCCATTTTATATCATATTTATTAAAAATTAAATAATATATTACGTATAATATTTATTAAATAAATAATTTTAAGTATGACGTTTTCTTTTATCATTAACTCAAAGTATTAAAGGTGTAGTCTATATATATTTTTGTATATTGATAATAATTAATTGGGTAAAGGAGACGCACACGTAAAAATCAACACGATATAGAAACCGGCTATATTTCCATAAACTTAAATAGATTAATGGGACAGGAATAAGGTTGTTTCTTTTCGTGGGATTAGTTGATGAAAAGGCTATTCCGCCCCAAACCTATTTAGACTTTAAAGCACAATGGTACAACTTTTTTATTAATGAGAATGTAATATACATACAAGAGTAAACATAATCCTATATATCTAACTCACTAATTTAAACTAAGACTTATCTCCTAATAACTAATCATTCAAACTCTAAATAAAATACAACTACTAATCTAATATCTAAATATTAGAAATAAATAAATAAATACAAATTAATTTAAATTTAAATAAATCAGTCGTCCTTATGAGTTATATTGCCGTCACAGCTTATTTCTCATTCGAGTATAATAACATATCATCCATTTGTGTATATATAATTTGCTTTGACTCTTTTATCTTTTTATTTAAGGTATTTTTAGTTTGTTGATTTGAGTTAAGATATAATTATATAAAAATTATTTATTATAATAAAAAAAATAAATATAATTAGTTTTTAAATTTTTTTTATTATAATAAAATTTAAATCGATAAAATAAACAGAGTTATAATTTTTTCTTTTCGTAAATTGACTCTATCGTTGATTATCTCAAAAAAAACGTTTTGCACAAGTGGTTGATTTTCTTTACAAGAGTCGAGTACTTTATCCCCATTCTATAAACAAAACAGCAAATGTTTGACACGTTGGTAAGCAAGTTGTCCCCCATCAGAATTACAATTTACAACACAACTCTGTTCTATCAGTGACTTTTTCATCACAAACCACGCACAGTTTCACAACTCTACTTTTTTTTTTTTTTAATGATTAAAACTCTAGTAGTTTGATTTTTTTCATTTTTTTAGCTAGTCTATTTCAGTTGCCTTTGAAATGAAAAATGTACGTATAGAATTATAACTTACGTCTAGTATCGTATTTTACGAGCTCATTTAGTTCATTGATTCGAATTTTTAATTTGAGTTAAGATGTAATTTTATATGAGAGTTTTTTACTGTAATTAAAAAATTAAATATAACTATTTTTAAAAACTTTTTACTGTAATAAAATTTAAATTTTAAACTTAAATCGATAAAATAAACGGGTCTACATCATTAATTACATCGCTGTTATATTATTAACGTACGTCATGATTGTGTTTTGCGATAATAATGGTAATTGTTAACTCTTGCTGACTTTCGTGCGAGCAGTGTATTGATTCAAGAGACTACAGCAAATTGTTTTATAGATACCAGTTTCGTTTTTCTTCGAGAATGAAATCTTATACAATGGGAAAATTAATCGCTGTAACTAAGTTCACGGTATTTACTATATATCACCGTTGATATTTATTACTGCATGAATTTTAACTAACTTTTATAAATTCGCATATTAATTAACTTTGAGGACCTAATGACTACGACACTGGATCCAACATAGTACTATACATAGATATTTATATTCAACACCTAATCGAGTAAAACACGAATAATGATAACTGGCAGCAATGATTTCTTTTTTTTTAATATAAAAAAACTTAGGACCCATTTGGTAAACAAGTTAGAAATGTGGTGGTTTAAATTTAAAAAAAAATTTTAAAAATACTATTTAAGATGGTAAAAAATTTTATTTATATCACTCCACTCAAACATAAACAATTGCCATTCAATTGATAAAGATAAAATAAAAAATCATAATGACACTCAATTATTTAGAATAACATAAATAATAAATTTGCACAAAACAATAACAAACATCTACTTTTTTTTCTCTTTTTTCTAATTTGAAATAAAAAGTTTTAAAAAAATAGTTCAAGTTTTGGTTCAAACCACTTTAAAACAAATCGGTGTAAACTCATATTTTATAAGAGGTCTTTTTTTTTTGCGTTTAAAACATCAATTCAATGGTTTTAAGTTTTAACCAAAATTTAAGTTTTACTAAACACTAGTTTGAACCAACTCTTCAGTTCAAAATATTTATGGGATGTTTGTTTCATAAGTTTGTCCTTAATCTGAATTATAGTTATTGGTTCTCTATAATATTTTTTTTCATAAAAAATTTAAATTTTAAAAATTAAAATCATGAATCATGATTTTGAATCCATAAACCAAACGTCTCATTAATTAGTTTACCAAACAGGCTCATAGTACAAGAGACCATTGAGTAGCAATGTCCACATTTAAGGAAGGAAAAACGTCACGAAATAAAAA